CAATAAGTGATTGAATAAAAAAAAAATTTAATTATAAGCAAATTGTAAAACAAGTACAAGCTTATTTGTCCTATGCTTTTCAATTCGTTCAACTTCATAAAAATCGCTAGACTCTTCATCGTCCGATGAGTCATTACTCGTTTTATTCATCACATGCAAACCATCTAATTAAATTGAATTTAAAATTAATAATAATAGCGATAGCCCATAAATTTTCATGGAAACAAACAAAATTGTTTACCAAATTCACTAATAATGTTCGACTGTTCATTTTCACTGAGATCATCGACTATGAAAGTATCCATCGAATTATCTGTTTCGTTGCTAATATCATCATGACTCGCTGGAAATTGCTCTTTGCCTGAACGTGTGTTTTTATTTCCAATAAAGATTTTAAATGACATTAAAATATCAAAATAACAAAGTTTGACAATTGAATATTAAAAAGATTTATGTATTAAATTAAAAAATATGACATCTGACGAATCACTATATCCATGCCAATTTTATTTGTATAGCTTTCTATAGAAAAATAAGGTTATAATGATCTTATTGTTGAGAGTCAAATTATGTTATATTTAGTATGTAGTAAACATTTTAAATACCAAAAATAAATTATTTGTTTACGTTAACAATTAGTTTATATATTTACCTTTTGGTATTTGAAATTAATTGTCATTGTTAGTTAATTACGTATTCAAAGTCGACCACGTCTTATTAAATTAGTTAACTTTTATTATATTTGGTATAGGTCATTTTATTTATTTTGGTAAGAAAAATAGATAAGTTAAAGTTAATATAAAGTAATAATTTTTTTCTATTAACAGTAATTCAAAAAATATTTTTTATTTCGATACCTAGACAACATATTTGTAAAAAAATTATATGGTTTATTGATTTGAATTTTAAAAAGTTTTAAAATTTATTTAAGGAAAATTCTATTTTCACCCGGTTAAAGTTACCCGAAATTTTACTAATACTAATAATTTTAGTTACGTAAATGACATTATAGTTTATCGGGTTACTTTAACCCGGGTAAAATAGAATTTTCTTTATTTAATTTTTAAATTTTAAAAAATTAAAAATTAAAATTTTAATAATTTTAATACTTTAACCAATTAAAATTGAGTATTTTTTATATTATTATACAAATAACTTTGTATAGCTATTTTTTTTTATAATTTGGCAGTCCTGCCACTTTTTTTTGAGATTAAACTAAACTAAGAAATTTACATTTCCTAATAATAGCTATACTAATCTAACCAAAAAATGACTTACCTACACTTGCATCAGATATAACTTGCCTTAGTGGACTTCAAGCCTTTTTTCAGGTCTTTAACTTACTAGGAGTTATTCTTTGATCATGGGCTGATGTCACATATCGTATTAAAATTAATTTTCTTTTTTACAAAATAAAATATAAACACAAATGCAAAGAGTATAACAAAAAAAGGAGAAAATATTATGATATCAAGTTCTGGTCTATTTAAACCAATAAAATCAAATAAAATAAAAATAAAAAGAAAGAAAAATCAAAAGAAAAAAAAATAAAAATAGTATTATTAAACCTGTGCAAAATTATAAAAATTATATAGTATTACAAATAAACTAGTCTGAACTCTATGCTAGTTATTTATGTCTATATCCAGAATATAAAAATATTAAAAATCATCTGATCTTAAAGTAAAGATCTAAGTTCGAAATTTCTATTGTGGTCCTGATAAATTTTTTGCAATGTTTCAACCTGTGACTTCCTAAACAAAGTTAATGAACTTTTGTCTGTTAACCCATATCGATAAATCAGATGCTCTCAGTATAATTACCACAGCCTTTTGAAGAAAAAGTATCTGATATTATTAATCCAAAATATATGTGTACACATATATGTATATTTTCTTTTTTGGCAGCAATCATTGTTGTTGATCTTTTAATGAAATATGCTAGAATTTTGAAGAACTCTGATATAACTCAGAGGTTACTCAAAAAAGAAAATTTTGAATAGAAATTTATCAAACATTGTATTTTATATAGTAAATTTTTTAAATTTTAGTTAATTTTATACATCTATTTGGTTGATATTATACAAATTTAAATCCGAGTTGTATCAGAATTCTTCGGAGTCCTAGTATGCTGTATTTTTTACTTTTTGGTAAAATTTTATAAAAGCTAAAGGTGGGTATAGAGAAGGGTTTCAGTTTATAGATAGCTTTAAACTTCAGTAAAAAAA